TAGACATCCCAAAATGTGACGTCCACAAATGTGGACGCCAGGTCCTGGGAGGTTAAAGTCTGTTTTTGCTGGTTTTCATCTTTGCTTTGTGCTGTTGGCGTTGTATTCATACTATTTGTGTTGGTGTGTGGGACTGTAGCATAAAAGTTTATATTTTTAAATTGTAACTATGACGCAATGGGTTGGAACACAAAAATAACATAAATAGCAGTATAACAAATTACTTTCTCCTGGGAGTAATTAAGTAATGTACTGTATTGCTTTAAAGAAGCTTGTTTTGTGTAATACATTACTTTCTTTTCCAACACTGATTTGACCGCATGAATGCCATTCATTTGCATGAATGTCATGTGTTGGGTATGCTGCTTAGAGATGGTGGTGAATCTCAAAGCAGAGCCAATGAGAACCAAATACGAACTGATGACGAATCAGAAATGAGCAGAGAAGAAGCCAATAAATATCAAACCAAAGTTAAGTTCACGGTTCGGCCAGTGGTCGATCCCCGCGGCATCCCAGCTTTAATTTCTAACTGAACTCTTAGATCCAATCTTCTGTTCTGCTCATCTCACAGCAGACAGAGACATCAACAACTTCTCTTCTATAAAAACGTTTATAGCCGGTTCTCGTTTCTCCCCCCTCTCTTTTTTGACGTCACATCTGGATGACATCTGGCCTCACACATTGTTACATCACCGTTGTTGACAAGTAATCACAAACAGGCCATTTAGTACATTGATTAAAGTTATACCTGATAATATTTTGATCAGTACTAAGCAATTATCATGATTATCAGCAAAATCAATTCTGTGTTTAACAATTGCAACATACCATTTTTCTCATGGAGAATCGTGTTTGTCATGTGAAGCTGTGTGGCAGGATTGGACCCAAATGCTTGACTCATAGATGGAAGGTAAAACTAAAGGTAGCAGCTTTATTTCTGGGAAATAGTGCAAAATATAAACTCACAAAAAACAAACTGAACTTAGAAAACATGGAAACTAGAAACAAAACACGGAACTGAAAACTCAAACAACAGGAAACTAGAAATGCAGCGAGACTTGCACACATGAGGAGGTCCAACACGACAGAGGGCAAACACAGGCTTACATAAACAGAGGAGTAATGAGGGAGTGGGAAACAGGAGGGATTAATTAGACATAACGAGACAACGGGAAGCAGAGCTAGACACACTGACGTAGGACATGGCACTGTCAAAATAAAACAGGAAATGACACAGAGAGACAATACTGACACAGCACAGAGGGAACACAGAAACCAAAACCGAAGAACTAGAAAATCATAACCAGGATTAAACAGAAAAAAAGATAATAACAATCAAAACAGAACTGCTGAGTCCACAGGCTCAGGACCATCACTAGGGATGGGTATTGATAAGATTTTCACGATTCCAATTCCATTTTCGATTCTGTTTAACAATTCGATTCTTTATCGATTCTTTTTAAAAAGGAGAACACTAAGGTTGAATAACTCAGAACTTTGTTTTATATCTTCTCTTTGAACAAGAGAGAAATTTAG